TGCTGGGGTAGGATGGGGGTGACAAACTCCCAACATCTCACATGCCTGTGACAATAGCTTCATAACAATTGGTGTCTCTGCCTGAAGTGTCACCTGCTTAGGCTAGCATGAGGAAGATGTGTACAATAGAAAGGACATGGCTGCAGAATTAGCTCGTCTTCCAGCCCACTTACTAGCTCCACCACTTAGTGGCTGAGGCACAACACCTGCCCTCTCCAAGATCAGTTTCCTTCTCTATAACATGGGGATAGTGCCACCTACATCTTAGGGTTATTGACTGAATTAAGTGAAATAATTTACCTACGGACCTTGCTTAACACTTAGTCGGCACTCAGTAGGTGTTAGTTTTCTTCCCTTCCTTATCCCATCCCCTCTGATAGACTTGATACTACTGCAAGGTAGATATTTCTAAAAAGTAGTTCTACAATAGTTTATGGCTTTTCATTGCTTGAAGGATAGAACTCCATTGCCTGACATTTAACATTCTTCACAACTGGGGCCCAACATACTTCTCTCAGCTTATTTCCATGCCTTCTCTTCTAGTACCTCACCTATTAGCCACGATCTCCTCACTATCCTTTCAAAACACATCTTGAGCTTTCTTGCCAATGAACACTCCATTTCTGCACTTTGCCACCCCAAGTCCCTTCCCACTCTCCATCTATCTTAGATATTCTTCCAAAGCCTCAGTCAAATCCCTCCTCCATTTTCTCCTCCTCCTCCCCCCATAAAACCTAAGTAAATTCAGCCCAGCAATTTGCTATCCTGAAACCATAGCACTTATAGCCTCCTACCAGTCATTGGAAATTTTACTGTGATGGCTCTTATTATTATTAAAAATTTTAAAGTATGAAACTTTGTCTTCTATCTAGTCTGTTAAGTTCACTGAGGATAAAATGATAACGATAACTACCATTAGTGGAGCCCCTTGTATGTGTCAGATACTGTATGCAGGCCCTTCACATATGTTATCTCATTGAGTTTCACTCTTACAACCATCCTATGAGGTATGCATTATCATTCCTATTTTACAGATTAAGAAACTTAGGTTCACTGTGGTTAATATATTGCCTAAGATTATTCAGCTAGTAAACAGTGTTAACTGAGATTTGTACCAAGGTCTACTTGGTTCCATAGCTCATGCTATTAACCACTTCCCTAGTGGGGTCAAGAACATCTAACAGAACGCTGGGCCCAGAGGAGGCACTCAACTGGCCAAGAGCACCAAGGAAGACCTGAGGACAGCCTTGGGTTTTTGCAGGTCATGGATAAAGTAGTTGGTTGCCCCACTGACAATATGATATAGGCCATTCTTACTGATTTTACTAGTATACCTACCATGTCCTCCACCCAACTGAAGGTAGGCCTCACCCTCATTTTGGCCACTATCTTTTCAGAAGAGGTCTTAACCAGCACTGTAACACCCTTTGTTATTTAGAGAAGACAGTCATGTCCATTATGTCACCTGGAGAGATTTGTCTTTTTCCCAGGGATATTGCTTTAGATAGCCTTCCTATGGCCTCCACCTCTAGGGACAGAAAGAAGTTCCAGGTGGTGACACTTACTCCTTGGGGGTTACCGACCTACAAAGCCCCCGAGGAGTGGACACGCTGCATTGTTGCTCACCTTGGTCTGTGAGAGCTCATTTCTGAGAGATGGTGGTGGAACGTTCAGTTCTAGTTGAGATTCTTAAAAATGTTCATCTTTGAACACCAGATTATGGTAGTGATGTACTATAGTGGGGAGGGTACCAGCTTGGTAGCAAGACCTGCCACTGACAGGATGTGGGAGCTCAGACAATAACTTTTTTCAGAACTTTCTTCATCTGTAAAATGGAAGTGATGGATTATATGGGCTCTAAGGTCCAATCCAGACATAGAATTCTGTGACTCTGGAAGGTGGTGGGATGACAGTGGGAGGGGGAGTGGAGATGGACAAGGCTCAGAGCATTTTCTAGGTGCTTACTCAATCCTGAGTGTGTGAGTGGTGGAGGTAAACAGGGAGGAAAGATAGCTGTGAAGCTGAAGCTTGAGAGGTTAGAAGGTTCCACTTCTGAATGGAACAATGGAACCCTAGGGGTCTAGGAACAACCCACCTTGAACAGCAAGTCTGAGAAACCATGCAACTGATAACTAATTTATGAAACTGGTCCTCTAGCTGCCAGGTCATTCTTCCTCTGAGGAGTAGGGTGACACCCTCACCCCACTCATCTCCAGCTTTGTTCCCAGACTCAAGGGTCACCTTATGACAATTGGGGCAAACTTTACTTATTTCATTTTCAGCTTGGGAGCTGGTTGAGTGATGATTCTGTTCTTGCCACTTCTGCCTCTGAAGGAAGGGTAGCTGCAAAGTCTCCTTGCTCAGGTGGAGGTGCCAGGCTGGCTTGAGGAGCAGGGGGCAAGAGAGGGTCTCTGCCTGTCTTAGTTGAATCCATAGGTGTGATCTTAGAACTGGGTATTTCAGGCACTCTAGCCCTCGCCTACATTCTCCCAGTACCTAAAGCCAACTAGGCAGGACCATGTTTCCTGTCTCCAAGTGCTGTGATATTTCTTCCTTGCTGAGCAGTTTTGGGGATAGGCACAGAGAACGGACTCAGAGGTGCGCATAGATTGAACCTTCCATTCCAGTAACCACACGACTGAGAGGAGGCTTGGTGTCTGTGTGAGGGAGTGGGCTGCAGTCAGCCAGGAAAACCTACTACAATGTGGCAAACCATTTCCTTTCTTTCCATGGACCACAAGCTGCTGTTGTTTTAACAAGTACTCAGGAAAATAACATTTTGATAACCTAGGGCACTGGTCTTGCTTTTAAGCTGTGCCACACTGACCTGATGAGGGATGTTCAAGGGACAATTCAATAACAAACCTACATGGGGAAAATGGTCATAGAGATAATTTATTAACTTAAAATCTCATATTTATATCAACATTTGCCCACGTTAAACACAACACACACTGAGGTGAGGATGAAACATGAGCTGGGAGGAGTCTTCCATAGCCCCCACCTCCCTAATGACCACAGACTTCATCTGGCTCTGCTCCTTTAGGCCTGTCCCTTCCCAGGGTCTCTGGCCAGCAAATCTCTCGTATGAACCATGGTGCTGGAAGCAGGCCAAGTGAAAAGAGTGGCTCTGAAGGAGGAGAGAGCCCCTCCCTCCCCATGACATTTGGGTACTCTAGACAAGTCCCCACCATGGGGTCAGGTATGGATAAACACAAGTGTGCCTCCTGGAAGGGTGACTGTCAGCAAAAGCTTTTCCTTGATTAACCTTTGTTTTCTAAATCAAGCACTTTGGGCCCTACTTAAGGAGCTTCAATGGACACTTCGTCCTTTTCCATTTTGCAAACACTGATTGGTTTTTCTCTCGCAGAATGGTGGGAAGCAGCGTGGGCAACGTGGTAGCACTATCAGCTGCACTCCTAGTATGTGTCTCATCTTGCTTTGGGGAAGTGGCTGGAGGCTGGGGAAACAAATCCCAACCAGTCACTGTCGGGAGCACGTCACAGGGAGGAAAGGTAGATTCCTTTCTGACCTTCTCTTGGTAGGTTAGTCTGCAATTAGGTTAAGCCTCCAGGGTCTACAATAGCCTCGAGGCTGTATGACAACCTTTTCATATATATATGTATATATCTCAAAGTAAGACACAGATTAAAATGTTTACATATACTGTTCAATTCATAATGAAGACGTGAAATTAGACACAATTCACATCCTATTGCCCTGACACTCAGGAAATGCCTACAGGACAGACAAAGGCAACTAGTGGAGGGATGTGGCATAAGAAAAATATGTTAACTGACACTCCGCTGAAAATCCATCTTTGCCCTTCCAAATTGCTCATTCAGGGGGAAGTAAAGAAGCAGTTAAACTCCATTCTCTGGCATGTGACCTCCAAAAAGCCTTTAGTTCAGATCCTGTTTATGATTCTTCTAAAGGCAAACAAGCTTCCTGAAGAAATCATAATCCTTTTCTTGGTCCTTCTGGCATCCTTACTCTGGAGAGCAGTAAGGACACTGGTGTCCAAAACGGGTGAGTGTGGTTATGGTTGATCCAAGGGAGTCAGATTACTTAAGGTGGTCATGACACATGGAGCAAGAAAAAGATAGTTCTGGAAACCTAACTTTAACTGAGAAAATGGCTAGGGTCTCAGTTTGCTTCTACCCATTTTTGCCACACCAAAGAAAGCTCCATTTTCCCAAAGCTTTCTGAAATGGGATGAAACTAATTCAGTTACTCTCACAGGGGTGAACTTTAAAAGGATATAATCTGCAATGATTTTTCAACTTTTCAGGTGAATAACTACAACTAGTTGGTTCTGACCTTATGTTTACCTCAGATTAAGAATATGGTATCCGTAGTCTCCATTCTTCTCTCCTCTAAAGAACAAAAAGACCCAAGTGAAGGAAGGCTGGTTGGAGGCAACAGGGCCTCAGCCTGAAGAGACAATCAGATTTGAAGCTATCCAGACAAGGAAGCTGCTCAACAAGGCTTTTGTAGGCTGAAGTAATCTAGTTTTGATAAGGAATTTAGGGAAGCCATGCAGGCTCACTAAGTGCTGCCCTGAGCGGGCTGACCTTGGCTACCAATACTGACTGACAGAGTCTTTGTCCCAGTTCAAACCTGGGGTTGGGGAAAAAGAAAGAGAGAGAAAAAAAGCAACACTCTCCGGATCAGATAAAGTCACTGAGCAATACACATCTGGGGCTATATCTTCTCCTTGCTTCCAATGACTGGAAAGTTTTAAACTCACTGGCTCTAGTAGGCTCATCATATTGCCCATCAGCTTGAGAGGCCACTAGAGCTCAGGGTAAGCTGAAGCACCCATCTCAAGAGCTCTGCTGAGTAGAACAGAGAGAGAAGGAGATCTCGGGTAGACTTCTTCCATAGGCTTTCTCTGCGTCAGAGTGAGGCCCAGTGGGAAAGGGTTGGGGGACACTCTGCTTGGGGTGGTGGAGCATAATCTGGCAAGCAGAGATGGTTCTTTGGGGCCATAGGACAGTGGCCCTGAGGAGAGCATGTGCAAGGCCTGGTCAACCCAGTGCCTTTGATCCTCATGGGGTGAGAGGGAAGGCCAGGGAAAGCCTATCAGTCTGCAGCAGCTGGATGGTACTCTCCTTCTAGTGGCATCTTCCCCAGACACAGTCAAAGGAAGTTCATAAGGATGAATAAAGTAGATACTTTGGTCAACAAAAAATACTAAGATTGCTCTTATTTATCCTGGGAAATGTGAGGATGGAAGGAAAAGGTTTTAGGCTTGTGCCTCCACTGGATTTCCCTAGGGCAGTCACTCTGTTGTGTGATTTAATGCCAGTTTCCAAGGGTTGGTTGGGTCCCTGCCTCTAGCCCATTGAGCCCTTTTGGTTATGGGATGGGCAGGTGCCAGGCTGATGACTTATAAGACGGACTGGCAATTGGTCCTCAGTGCTGCTTGTGACGGTAGGGGCACCAACTATAACTTCAGAATTAAATGACTACACTTAGATAGAGGTAGAGGTAAGTGGTGAGAGAACAGGGTGGACAGGTAAAAGGGTCTGTCTGTCTGAAATTGCTTACATTACAAGGGGTGACTTTTAAATTAGAGGAGTCTTTCAGAGGAAAGGTTTTCCTCGTGTACAAAAGAGAGCCAAACTTTTCCAGCAAAATATTGAAAAGGAAACACTCTTGAAATGATGCTGAATATGCCTCTGCCATGCATATGGCATATTAACAAATTAACATGTCCTATGTTAATTTTCTAATCTCTGAGTGGCATAGGAAAGATACTGCCCTCCACCCCCACCCCCTTAATGTACTATCTACTGACTGGTCTGATCAAAAACACCCTGGGTTGTTAGAATGATTTCTATATTCAATACATAACAGGATGCTAGTGGGATAGATCCCTGCAAAAGGGGAGACACTATTACTTTGCAATTGAATAATTTAAAATCCTAGATCAGTATACAAGGAAACCCACATATTTCTGGTGGAAATTTTGCAGCATGTGCTTCAGTGTCAAATGAAAAAGATATCTTCCAGAATTTGCTTTTCCTCCAGGTCTTCAGGGGTCCTGCCTGCCCCCATCTTGTTCCAGGTTGATTTTAGAGGACTGAGTCGGCGAGTACTGTGATTCCAGGCCCCAACTTCTCTGGAGGGATGGGGCTGAGGTTTGGAAGTAGACTTTGGGCTCAGAGATTGAACCAAATCCAACAGAGATGTCTCATACCTGTAACACACACAACCCAGATAGGAAATGATCAGACCAGCAGAACATTAGAATCCAAGAAGCCCACAGAGATGGGCTGCCCAGGGCAAGAATGAGATCCCAGATCACAGCACACGCAAGATGGCCTTCCAGGGGAACTTCCGGGAAGGTAAACACAAGAAAGTCCCTGCTGTCGGTCTGTAAATTCTCTTCTGCTGACCTCTAACATTCTCTTCTAATCTGTGAAGAGAGACTGTGGTGGGGCAAAGTAATCATGATAACAGTAATGACAGAGTAGTAACATTTATCGCAGGCTTACTAAGTGTCAGGCACTGTTCTTAATGCTTTACATATATTTAACCTTCATTTAACCCTCTAAACAACCCTATGAGGTACATCCTGTACTCTTCGGATCCCCCTTACATACATGAGGAAACCAAGGCTCAGGGAAGTCACTTCACCAGCATGAAGCCATTACATGGCAGAGTCAGGATTTGAACCCAGACAGTTTGTCCCCAGCACTCTTATCCAGGACACTAAAGCTGCCTCTCAGACTCTTTGTAGTCAGACAGACTTCGTTTAAATCTCTGCTCTATCATTTGCAATCTGTGTGATATTGGGAAAGTTATTCAATCTCTCAGTTCAGTTTCTCCTGAATAAAGGGCTAACAGAACTCCTGTTAGGATCCAATGAATCAGTTGGTATAAATTAACATACAATAAATACTCAATAAATGCTAGTTCCTTCTTGCTATCCTACTCCCACTTTCTCTAGAATCTTGGGAAAAGAAACCCTCATCTGAATCTATAAAGAGATCCCTCCAAAGAAAGACTGCCTTGGTGCCCAGCATTTTTATTTATTTATTTATTTTTTTTTAAAGATTTTATTTATTCAGTTTTTCCCCCCAAAGCCCCAGTAGATAGTTGTACGTCATAGGTTCACATCCTTCTAGTTGCTGTACGTGGGACTCGGCCTCGCGTTGGACGGAGAAGTGGTGCCTCGGGGCGCTCCCGGGATCCGAACCCGGGCCGCCAGCATCAGAGCGCGCGCACTTAACCGCTAAGCCACGGGGCCGGCCTCCAGCATTTTTATTAAAAAGCTTAAGTTAGGAGTGGCATAGAGGTAGAGAAGCTAAACATGGTCAACAATACCCTCATCCATGGCCTGTTGTACGTATTTCAGGGATGGAAAGCCAAAGGCACAAATGTATCTGCCTCCATACTCATTCATACAAAGAGTCAAGTAATTGCTACAGATGTATCGTGAAGTCTCAAGCAGGGCGTGTGTGACCTGTGTAGTTGCACAGGGCCCTGCACTTGGTTTAATGCTCTACTGTTACAGATCTTTGATTTTGTGTTTTGTAAATGAAGTCTAATGGGAGAAGAGAGCATGTGTGTGAGCAGAGGAGACACACTGGGCATGCGTGTGTGGGTTCAGGCCCACACGCACAGTGGGCAATGGGCAGTGTGTGTGCCAAACAGTTGGCTTGCCTGCCTGATGTACACATTCATGCCAGAAGCATGCTGGGGTACTCCCTGCAGGGCCCCAGGGAGGTGGCCGGGACTAGGACCTAGGCCCAGATCAGTGATGGTGATGGCAGCAGCAGGAGCAGCAGTGGTGGTGGCAATGGTGGAAGGCTGGCTTGCCCGTCTTTTCCCAGAACCCATTCCATAGACAAAAATATTAGCTCTCTGGCCTGAGCACTGGGATAAGAACTGCTAGAGCTTAGGCGATAAATGTCAGTGAATTATTACAAAAGCATACACATAGACATTGCAATAAAGCATATCAGAGAGATATTAGAATTCTTCAAAAAGTTTAGAATCTCTGGTTTTAAAAACTGCTGCAGAGGCCAGCCCCGTGGCGTAGTGGTTGAGTTCGGCACACTCTGCTTCGGGGGCCGGTGTTTGTGGGTTCAGATTCCAGGCGAGGATCTACACTACTCGTCAGCCACGCAGGGGCGGCGACCCACATAGAAAATAGAGGAAGACTGGTACAGATGTAAGCTCAGGGCTAATCTTCCTCAAGCAAAAAAAGAGGAAGACTGGCAACAGGGCAATTTGCCAATGACACAATTTGCTCTGTTAGCTCAGGGTAAATCTGCCTCAGCAGAAAAAGAAAAAAAAGTTCTCATCACAAGAAAAAAAAATAAAAAAACAAAACAAAAAATACTGCTGCAACATTGCAAAGCAAATATCCACAGGCTTAGAAATAGAAATTAAATGTAAAGATTGTTGCATCTGATGGAAAAGAACACCATTTTCATATGCAGCTTCAAATGAACCAATTAATGAGGAATACAATTTTAAAATTAATTTTTCTTTGTAATTGAAGATACAGCAATAGAAAGCATAAGTAGGTATTTTGAATTATATACATATCATTATGTGACTTTTGGTTTCCTGTATGACCTCTACAAGTTACCAGACATGACAGAGAAAACATTAAAATGATGTATAAATTTATATTTAAAATTAAATTCTAACATACATGAAACTAATGTGTATAAAGAGTTAAATATTTTTAGAAAAATTGTTCCATAAGAATCATCAGCTCTAGATATAACAAAATTTATATTTTGGAATACTTTATCAGAAATCTATTCCAATTTGTCACAGCCTATAAAATATTAACAGCTCCAGTGTCAGTTGCATCAGCAGAAAGATCCTTCCCAAAATTAAAAATTACCAAAAATTATATGTGATCTTTCATTTGCCAAGAGCAACTGATCTGCTTTTAATTATATCACTTAAAGTTGCTAAAAGTATAAATTTTGATGATCTAATAAATGAATTTGAAAAGTGAGCCAGAAAAATCTTATGATCAATCAAGTTACTAGGTTAATAAAGTATTATTATTTATTGCCTTATATAAAATATCAAAAATATAATCTTGTTGCTACCTGTAGGAAATACCTGTATGTTATTACTCATGTATCACCATTACCTGTTGTTTTATAAACTTCTTCTTAAAGGAAAAAGTTTTGTATTTTAGTACCTTTAACTGCATTTTTTCATGCTACTTTTTGAACAAGGGATTTTCCTTTTGCACTGGTCTTGTAAGTTATGTAGCTGACCCTGCCCTCAGGTCCCAGGCAAGATCCGACTACCATCTCAGGCATGGAAATGTCATGATATTTTCTATGGTATGAAACCTATAAATTGAAATCCTTTTTAGCAGCAAATTTTTTGCAGCTTTTATTCTGACAGCATCAAGGCAATGTTTCAATACAATTATCTTTGTCATTCAAAACCAGGGTTTCTGTGTTCAACCAAAACATCTCTGTTTAAGGTGTAAGCCAATGAGTTGGATACTGCTTCCAAGAAAGTTTGCTTATAAGCAAGACAGACCTACGTGACATTCAAGGAATAGGCTTTGTTTGAACCTTCCTCGGAGACATGTGGCAATCTCGTTGGTAATATTCATCTCTTCATACAGACCATTAATGTTTTTGTTAATTAGAAACAATAGAAAGCCTACATTTTTCTATACAATTTCATGCTTAAAACAGATAGGGAGAGATATTCTGAATGTGGAAATAAACCAGCCGCCCTCTCTGTTAAAAAGCAGAGCCAAAATAACTGAGGATCAGAAAGTATATCAGAAATCAATCTTTCAGAGATGCAAGCTGAAATCCAGAGTAACAATAAGCATTTGTGTTCAAAGACTGATTAAATAGGTGCCAACTTATCATTTGAAAAATAGTTGTGGGCTTCAAATTCCTTCCTAGTACTCTTATTCACATACAATATAGTAAAAAAAATCTTTACAATATGGAAAGAATGACCCACAAAATCATAGAAAGTTAGATCTGATGTATTAGTCAGGATAAGTTAGGTTATGCGGCAGTAACAAATTAACCTCAAAATTCCAATGGCTTAACACAAGTCAAATATATTTTATGCTTATGCTATATGCTTAAAGTAGGTCCAGGCAGAATGGCTCCACTATCTTTTGACTGCATCATCTGGAACATGTGAGCTTCTCCATTTACTTGGAAGGGAAGACAGACTGAAGAACCGTACATAGGTTTTCCACAGCCTGGAAGTGACACAACACTTCTTATACCTGATTGGCCAGAACAGTCATGTTGCTCCAGAAGGGGATATTGGCAAACACTAGTAATGCCTACCCACTGAGGAAAAGGTCTTAGACATAATTTGGAATAATTCTCTTATTTTATCAATGAGAAAACTGAGGTCCAGAGAGGTATAAGTGAACTGACTGGGGTCACACAGCGAGTGGCAGAGCCAAGTGGTTTTTAATCCAGGCTCCTTGACTTCCTAGACTAGTGTATCTTCAATCTTTCCATCAAGATGAATAAGATGTGTAACTAAAGGAAAAGTAAAAGAAGAAAATGGTTGCTGTTTCCAACTACATTTTGTTTAAAAAGTATAGCATGATTAGTTGTAACTCAGTGTGAACACACCCATACTCCTAATATACTGGGCTATCTTTTCACCAACAATTTTATCTACCCTAAAGTACAAATGCTCACCTTCATGGTTCTGCTGTTATAAAAATTCCATTTCTCTAGAAGCCACATTCAGTCATGGATTACACTGTGGCAGAAGAATCAGAAAGTCTGTGGTAGGCAGGGCTCAGTGGCGCTTCCTAGCTAATTTTGTTCATTAAGTGTTTTAATAGTACTTTTGCTATCAAGAAAGACCAAATAATTTGGCAGATTAAAAAGCAACAAAACAGAAGGATTATTTTACAAGATAAAGCTTGAGAAATCTCTCAATTTTACACCAGAATTATATATGCAATAAAGCAAAATAAAAAATGAATTCCCATGGTATTTTGCACCAAATACTGGCAAAGAGCAGTGTGTTTATCAAATTGTGTTCCATGAGCAGTGCATCTTAGTTTGCTGAGGATACATGTGACAGAAGGCTATAAAATTGATTAACCTGGCTTGACCCTGATAGGGATGTTTGGTATTTAAATAATTTAAAGGGACATACAACTTATTCAAATCCATAAAACACTATCCCTTGAAAAACTCAGACTATATTTTA